TACATTGCACCAATTGTTTATATACGATTCCTTACAAAAGTGTTGATGCCGTCATCACAAAATTGTGTAAAGAAAAACTCAACTCGAAAATGCTGGAGATGTTTCATTGTACTTCTGGAGCGAGGGAAGTTCTGTAGAAACAACTAAATCTAAAAAATATAATGCAGTGATAAATATGCAGGTGTTTTTGAAATACATGAATGTACAAAAAAAATGATAACGTGTCTTCATGAGTACACCGCAGAAGTAAAGAAAAGTTGTAATCAAAGTCTTATCCTTTTTGAGATAAAAATCATTAAAGTTTTAATTAAAAAATGTTGTGCGTCAAGGTGATCAAATGATACTCCTAATTCTTTGGTAGTTAAATAGTTTTATAGGCAAAATTTTTGTTTTCGGTGAAGGCTGGGTAGTTAGTCATAATTTTGACAAATAAAATTGCAGTATTTGCAGTAAAAATGGCAAATTATATCAATACTGAAATGACCGAGAAGGTTTTTATGTACGGGAAGGCCGAAGGGAACCCATGTGAGGTTCAATATCTGTACCATGCAGCATTTCCATTACGAGCACTGCCAGAATATTCTGTATTCAGTTCGCTTTTCCAGCGGCTATGGGAAAATGGCGAATTTAGTGCTGTCACTGTAGAACCTGGTCATGAGAGAACAGAGTGTGTGGACGCTGAACCAGTAATTTTGGAGTTGGTTGAGGAAGAATCTGGTAGTGTCAGAAGATTAGCGTATCGGATAGGCGTTTCGCCATTTATACTTTGACGAATTCTAAACGATTAAGGACCACACTTCACGTCCCTACCATGTTCGACGGGCCGAAGAATAAGATTTTCTGAGCGGTTAGTACAAAAAAATTGAGATAAACCACATATTGTAGAAAAATCTTATGCACACATGAAACAATCTTTACGCGAGACTTAATACTCATATCTGGTCGGATGAAAACTCCTATGCCTATGCTATTCATGAGACGTTTCAGAAAAGTGATTTAACGTTAATGTATAGGTAGAACTGATTGATAACAAATTAGTACCTTTTACCACCATTTTTTTTGTCTAATTTAGATGAGAACAACAGCTAGAACCACCTTCCGGACAACACCTAACATACACGAGGTGTTAGCAACAGCCTAAAATGACAAGCAGCCGAGCACTTGTGTGAAAAACGTTCGAAAATTACCTATGGATCAAGAGTTGAAAAACGTACTGTCTGCAACTTTTAGAAAATTAACAACCCAGGATGTATACAACATCGGAAAATGTTTTTCGTGTCGGAGATCCAAATTTGCCAAAAAATATTCTTGAAGTTCACAAGATATTAAATGTACTGAAAATTACAACTAACAACAGAAATAAGGCGTTTCTGTTAATCAATGATAACTTCAGCAATATAGTCATTTTTCCTGTGAGACAAGTTTAAGTTTTTTAACAATTTGTGAAAACATTTATCTTGATGGAACTTTTGATTATGCACTTAAGTTTTTCAGGCAGTTATTTACAATTCATTGCGTAAAGAACGGATATTATATTGCCTTATACGAAATAAAATGCATACAACTTATGTAAAATGTTTTCAGTTTAGATTTGAAGAATGTAATAAATTATGATTAGAATTCGAACAGTCCAAAATTATTGCTGATTTTGAGGAGTCAATTCACAAAATTGTTAGATTAGTGTGGGACAGTGCTGAAATTATGGGCAGCAGGTTTTATTTAGCGCAGTCATGGATGCGCAAAATTCAACAAATTGGTCTGATGAATTAATGCAACAATAGGGACTCTAAAATTGGGATATTTTTACATTGAATATTTGGATTGACATTCTTAGAGCCTGAAAGTGCTGGCGATTGTTTTGCTTTTGATTTTGCTGTAGAACAAATAAATGCTCAGAGGATATCAATATTCTTATATTAAGTATATCGTTGACAACTATATTGACGAAAACGCTAGGTTCCCTCCACATTTGTCGGCTTGTGCTTCAGTTACAACTGAAACATACATAAACTGCTGAGAAACCTTTCATTCCTCATATAATAAATCTTTTTACACACCACACCCAAGCATACATATATACGTTCTTAGAAATTTTAAAGCAATCTCAAACAACAAGGTACATTAAAACGAATAGTGTGCTATCAAAATTTCGAATGAAACGTATAGAAATCGTTTAAATTTTTGGGTATCTTACTTTCCAGATATAAGAATGGCGAGCTCGAATGTTTTAAGTATGTTAAATGGATATACCATTTTTCGAATTCATTCCAACATCGTAATTAGTAATAATAAGTATGTATAATAGAGTTTTTGTGATCGATTGACTGTTTTTTACTTTCCGAGCGTAAGCTAAGGAAGTATAGTAATCGAGTTCATCGGCCGAATTGCCACTTTCATGTTTTCTCGACGTGTCATGACCTGTAGAGTACGAAAAAAGTGGTCTCCCGTTTCCGTCTGGCTGTCTGGTGTCTGTATCCATTTTTATTAGACAAATAATCTCCGAAGCTATTGGACCGATTGTTGTCACATTTTGTATGTATTGTTACGTTGATCGGTGAATAAAATCGAAGTGGGTAAAACTCAACAATGTATTTCTTAATAACTCAAATTTACAGACTGATTAGTGATTACACAGCGATTATGTACAAAATAATCCCGGCGCAACTTGACTGGCTCTTCTTAACATTCGCTAGACTCAACTCCACTGAATAATCGTTCCCCAAGGTGCCTGCTATTTAAATCCATACATTTTTCTCGATGGATTGCGAACGCCGCTTCTAGGTTTTTCTGGACCCCGGAATCGAAACTTCCGGTAACCGGCTCCTGACTTGTCTTCATGCGAACACCGCCCGGTCGCGTCACCGGTGATGAGTTACCCATCATCGCCGCACTTACTAGAAAACCCATAGGCGTCGTACCGGGGCAACGTATGGGTTTATTTCATAACAATATATTAGGAATATCATGGGGATGGTTAAAACCTAACTAAAATTTGGCTAATCATCCCCACCACCATGACGTCATCTCCAAAATTTATAATAAAAATTTTTTTTTAATTCCATAAAATAAGATTCTCCTGCACTTGTGGTGTATGAATCCGTATCGAATTTTCACCCTAGACATCCAGAATTTTTTGAAAAAATTCAAAACTGAATAACAATATTGTGCAATATAACTTTGAAACTGCAAAACCGATTGCTCTGAAATCTTGTAAATATTGTAACGGTGTACGGGCGATTAAAATGGGCGTGGATAAAACTCAACAATTTATTCCTTACTAACTCGAATATACACTACTAACTATTGTAACGATTATGTACAGAAATTATTCCGGCGAATTTCACTGGACGCTCTTGACTCAACTAACTGAATGTATCCTTTTCCCGACGGTAGCCTCTATTTAAACCTATGCGTACCTCTCGATGGATCCAGAACGCCGCCTCGAGAGTTTTCTGCCCGCAATCGAGACTTCCGGTAAGCTCAGTCGCATTGAGGATGATTTGGATGAATCATCACCGGCAGAGAGTTCTCGACGACCATAGGTGTCGCACCGAGGCGGCGTAAGGGTGTATTTCGTAACGATATTATACGGTTATCGTAATCATGGTAAATCGTTGTCTTCTTTATATTTACTTTAACGTTACATACATATTTTTATTTTAACTTATAAGGGTCCACATAAAAAAATTAAATTCGCATAATCAAAATTTTTTAATTTTCCGAAAAAGCTGGATTTGATTTATTGTATTTCAGGAGCGAGGAAACTTCTGTTGACATAACCTTCGATCAATTTTGTTTTTATTGGTTAACAACTGTTTCAAGAATTTTATTTCCGTGAAAATAAATAATAAAACTTTTCTTGAACCTTTAATGTGAAAATTATGGTACGAAAATTACCCCGCGCCAAGATGGCTTGCGCCAAAGTGTCTCTGCGCCAAAATGTCTCGCGCCAAGTCGGCCGCGCCAAGTTGGCCGCGCCAAGTCGGCCGCACCGAATTGTCCTAGACCGAGCTCAGAAAGTTGAAAGTTAAATCTCCAGGTCCTGATCTTATTTCCGCCTGCGTTTTAAAGAACTGTGCACCCTCTCTTTCCACTCCGCACTTCTCTAATGGCGCAATCATTCATGTAATCTAGACTTCCCTCTGACTGGAAAACGGCGTTCGTCAAACCAATTTACAAGAACAAGGGTGATAAGTTTGTGATGCATCAAACTATAGGCCAGTGAGTTTGACATCGCTCGTGGTCAAGGTTATGGAATCCATTATCTATAAATCATTTAGTCAAGTTTCTTATAAATTACAATCTAATTCCACCTGAACAGCATGGCTTCTTACCTGGGAAATCTAATCTTTTGTGCTGTTTGTCAGACTGGACTAGCGATATCGATCTGGGTCACCCCGTCGATATTTTATATCTCGATTTTTCAAAAGCTTCTGACAAGGTTCCGAAACTCAGGCTTCTTCACAAATTGCAACATCTTGGTATACGAGGAAACCTTCTTGGGCGGATAGATTCTTTTCTGAGCGATAGAACATTTCGAGTCAAAGTCGGTGATGGACTTATTAGTAGATCTGTTGATGTTGTGAGTGGGGTGCCCCTGGGCTCGGCGCTCGGCCCGCTACTCTTTGTCGCTTAAACTGCCGATATCAAGAACATAATAACCTCGTCTTTCGCCATGTTCGCAGATGACACCAAGCTTTATAGCAGTTGTGCGAATTATAGGGACTTAGAACGAGATCTTCGAGCAATATATGACTGGACTCATAATTGGTTGTTACCTTTGAATTTAGACAAGTACATAGTCCTGCATCTTGGGAATAATAACCCGAAACTCATGTCAAATTCACTTAAATACAAAACACCTTTGAAGGAAAAAAACATCTGAGTTCCGACTGGGCTTTCCAGAAAGGACAAATTAGTAGAAGCAAAAATGGAAAGAAATTAAAAAAAAAAAAAACTTTCTTTAATTCAACAGATACCTAGTCTTTCAATAGCACAAAGAGATACCTAGATTTTTACATATACAGCATGTTCGAGTTGAGTTTTTTCTTTAGACAATTTTGTGATGATGAAAATGTCATCAACATTTTTGCAAGGACACGTATATCAACTTGAATTGGTGCAGTGTAATACTAATAAAACAGTATTGTATTCCCAAAATTTTCTGGGAAAATGGAATGAGCCCTTCCTGATTTAATCAATAAAATAAATTGACTCACTCATGATTTTTTTTTAGCCACCTATATAAGCAAATCTAAAAAAAACCGAATGTAATGATAAATCACAAGTAAAAAGTCATCATATTTTGCACATTTTGGGTAAAATTTATTCGGCAAAACTTTGAGATGACGTAGTCAATTTGGGGGGGGGGGGGGAATAAACAGATATATTTTGATTCACAATCTACCTTACTTACAATAACTTTAAAACGTCTGCAAGGTTTCAAAGTATTCAGTTTTGCAATTCTTAATTTATTCAGTAAAATATCCTGACTGAATCATTAATTTTTTCAATCACCTTGTATAAGCAAATCTAAAAAATATGAATGCAGTGACAAATTACAAGTATAGACTGATCATATTTTGCATACCTTAGAAAGGATTTATTCGCCAAAATTTTGAGATGACGTCATCAATTTTTTGGGGTCGATAAACAGATCCACTTTGATTAAAAATTTTACCATGCTAACTTCGAAACGTCTGTAAGATTTCAAAGTATTTAGTTTTGCAATTCCTGATGTAATCAATAAAATAAATTGACTCAGTCATTAATTTTTTCGGGACTCCTCGTATAAGCAAATCTAAAAAATATGAATGCAGTGATAAATAACAACCACATTTAAGATAGAGAGATAAGCAAACACATGCATAGCAGCAGTAAAAAATTATATAATTATTTTGAAACATGTTAAACTAAGAAGAATTCATGTAAATAAATTAAGACTGATGGATAAAGTAAAGAATTTTTGAATGCAAAAATGTTACGCACATTAGAGGTCCTAGGATCAAAGCCAGATCGCAGTTTTTTTTTATTCATCAAATCAAGAATGGCTCATCCCGAGGTTTTGAGAAAATAGTACTGCAATTATTAGTATTACAATGCACCTATTCAAATATATACACGTGTTCTTGCTAAAATATTGATGACCTCATCACAAAATTTTGTAATGGAAAAACTCACCTGGAGCATATGCATAGCAAGCTGCTTTAACAATCCACACATATCTTTATTTTTACTTTGGGGTTATTAAAAAACTAATAATAATATAATTCCACTGCGAAAAAAGTTCTGTCCAAATAACATTAGATCAATTTTTTGAAGTTGCTTATGATGTTTACACTATTAACTAAATCAACGGCCTATCTCTTTTCCTGAAATTATAAGAACCCATTACAGTTGTTAGAATAACGCACTGTACCTATCAAAATTAGTAATTAATTAAAAAGTTAACGACGTTATCATAAAGTTTTGTTAAGAATAACTAATATTACTAATCGACTCCTTTCTTATGTTAACTTGCAGAAGTTATCATAAAAAATAAAGTTCCCAAAACAAATTTTATAGCTCATGCGTCATTTAAATTTCGAAATAAGAATATACTAAGAATTTTGCATACCTAAAGCTTCGTCCCACTATACTCCTACTTCAAGGGGCAGATAATGTTAAAAGTTTCCGTCATTACAGTTTGGAAAATTTTCGTCTTTCTCACAAGAACTGGCGTTATCTAAAAGCTGAACGATCTAACAATAAGAATGAAACACAGCTAGTTAATGAAGTTCGGCGCTGTGCAAAATTAAAAAGATAGAGCCTTGTCTTTAAAGTTAATTGCCACTTTAATAACAAATTTGGGGTAATTAGTTACGACAAAATTTTATTTTTATCACAAAGTCAATTGTGTCTAAAAATTTTAGAAATTAACATAAAAATTTAAAAGTAACTAATTACGACATCTAGTATGTTTCTATTTCTGTCTTCATCCGTATTTACACAGGTAAAGTATGCCCGCACTACTTAGTATTTTAACGGCGGAAACGTATACTGCGTATATACATTGTGTTGGACGACAGAAACAGAAACACACGCTTTACAACACTTTGTCAAAATTAATAATATTTTACTACAAGTAACAATTTTTATGTGTTGCAATCGTTATTTTAAACTAGGTACAATGTCTACATATAAGCTATATAATTTATCTCTCTTCAAAGCGATGCGTTGCTATATCTTGAAATGTCAGTACTATGACATATAGATAAAAAAAATGAAATGGCAAGAACGATCTAGCGATTCCTCTTTTCAGAGCTTGTTTCGATCTACAGATTATACTAGACTTAAAAAAAAGAATTCAAGAATAGAAATAAAGATTTTGTGTAACTCTTGACAAAGTACGTTTAGTACTGTTTTAAAGTTAGCCTCCCCTTTTAAAATTTTAGAACCGTCGTCGGTATAGCTTTGGAATTTAAAACGTTATCATGGAAAATCGTTAATCAAAATTGATCTGTTTATCTCCCCAAAAATATAATGACGTCCTCTCAAAAATTTGCTGGATTATCCTGTTTAAAAAAATGTGCAAAATATTATGAGTCTACACTTACGGTTTCTCTATACACACATATTCTTTATAACTACTTATATAGGGTTATTCAAAAACAAAGCTGTTTATTTTATTGGTCAAATTAAGAACAGCTCACCCCTATCTAGCGAAGTTTTGTGAATATAGCACTACTGTTATTAGTATTACACCGTACTTCTCCAAACTGGTATATGTGTTCTTCCTAAAAAGTTGATGACGTCATCACAATGTTTTGTTGAAAAACTCACTTGAAATATTCTCATAGCATTCCATCTTTACCTGTGGTTTAACAGTACACACATATTATATTTATTTTTATTTACAGAGGTTATCATAAAAAATAAAATATAATTTATCTAATAAAAAATATCTGATTACCAATTCTTTAATAACAAAAATTGATTATATTTACAAGTGCAAGAATATGTGTGACATTTTTGAAATGTTTTCTTTACTGTTTTAAAGTAGTTCCTATAATAGGATATACAATAAATAAAATGAAGAACATACCTGAGTGGAACACGGTCAACAAATAATTTGTTGAAAGCGACAAAATTACGGTATCATCACCAAATTTGTCTTTGCTTATAATTTTGTGGCAAATTTATAAGCTTATAGGTACCACACATTTATATGTATTGTGATTCTTAAATTAGATCATAATTTTTAGAGAAGCATTAATTTCTTATCTTTTATGAGTTTTAATATCTGGGGTCAAGGTCCACCAAAGGTCAAGCCTTCCTCACGACCGTACAGTCTGTGAAACAGTTCACGCTAATAAAAAACAAAAAATGAGAACACTGCTTCGCTTCGAGGTGGTTTGGAAAAACCTGTGCGCAGTATACTAATTATAATTACTCAATATAAAAAGAAAACCCTATTACATATTTTCGTTGTTTAGAGGTAAGTAGTGCAATTTATGATGCAATTTATGAAAAATATCTAAAGGAAAATTATCTCTGTAAGTATTGACTAAAGAAATAGGTACGTTTTCAATAAAAATGTAAATGTACGCATTTATTTTAATTCTCTCTGTCAGAGTAGCGTGGTTTTCTCTTCATTAATGTATCGTTAATTAGGTGATTAATTTGTGAAAAGTTGAAACAAACAAATAACGAAAGTTGCAGTTATTCTTAAAACAATATTTTTATTTTTGAACATATTCTGTTCACCTAATACATGAACGGAACACTGTCGATAAACCGATAGGTGAAGTCTATAAATAAAAAACACAAACTATTATTCAACACAATGAATTTGACAGATCTATTATGAGTATTATTTATATTTAGTATATCAATGTTTATAATATACAGATAAGGTTAAAAACAATCCTGTTGTAATTTTTTGAGTAAGTATCTTTGTATATTGCAAAATTGTAATTGTAACTATGACTATATAAAGTGTAAGAAGAGGCTAACTCACTAAACAAAATTTGTCATAATATATAACAGATTCCATTTAAAAAGAGGTTATATGTAACTCTTCAAAAAAAGTGTACATTATCATAGATTAATATAGATGCGACATAGAGGCTGATTTTGCAAAATCACCCTTATTGACATTGGAATCCTCAACTGCCAAAGGCAAGCGCGAAATTTAAATAGTCGACGCCCATAAAAACCTTGTTTCACTATAATTGTAATGCGTGTGACCTGAATGATAGTGAAGGAAACAGTAAGCAGCTTGAAATATTCTAGTAAATCTAGTGTCAATTTATCGGAAATAAAACGCGTCGTTAAAAATATTATGACATTTCTTCTAGTTACTTTTATTCCTAGTTAGAGACAAACACTGCTACCAACATAAATTGAGGAGTCCGCAACCATCATTTGATTTAAACTATGACGCTTCTTTGTGTTCTCTGACAGTATAGAGTTTTATATAATAAGTAATTTTACTGTATATTACTCAAAGAATCTAGAGGCGCTATTTTTTTTCTGCTTTTATTACAGAGTACCAATAAACAAAATACAACCAGCCCTTTTTGAAACATTTTATTTTTTTTTAAATTGAAGAATTTTGCGGCTTGCAAGAAAAGATGTTTTTACATACAGTTTTATTTTTACAATAAACATTTAAATAAGTAGTTACAAAAATGTTGAACGTAGCCTCCATTTTGATATAAATGCAACCTAACAGTTTTACAGAGGTATTGCGTTGTATGAATCAGTTATAGACACTTTGTAGTTAATGATGGTAATAAAAACATATAGGAACGCGCGCTTGGTAATTCACCTTGGATAACTATGTATAATATAACTAAAGTGATAATTTTTAAAATGTTTGTATGATATTAACAATTATAGGTACTAACAAAACCAACATTATTCGATTCACTAGATTCTAATTTCAATTACTGACAAATTCTACGCGTATACCTACCATTCTATGGAACATAATATTATTATTAAATCTACACTCATGAGTCACTCAAAAAAATGTATCAATGAGACAATTTATTTTATTGATTTAATCAAACACACGAAGATTTGGGCATGAAAAAAGTATCTGTAAATTTGTTAGGAGCATTTGGACGCTTTCGCGAAGTATGAAATTAATTTTTAGCGGATTGTTTCAGGGAACGAAACCTAGGTGGTTCTCTAGGACCTTCCCACAAAACAGGAATTAATGTAGTGGATCCATAAGGGCTCTCCACCCACAAAAAAGCAAAAACCCAGCCTTCAAATTTCACAATTCTTCGAAAAAGCTATTTAAATAATTTTAAATCATTTTTTTCCAAATGAGATAATTATAGCTTCCCAACGGGTTGTCTAGCCCTCGGTGTGATTAAACACTTTGCAAATTTAGAGGAACACGGCCGTTATCCGCGAAAGTGGCGACGCCAGAGCAGACAAGTGCAATTCAGCGTCCGGTGAGGCTTTTGTCCGGGAAGTAACTGTTTCCGTCTACTGGTTGGTTTTTCCCAAATAGCGCGAAAGTACCATCTTTCGGCAAGTGGGGTAAACACATAGGTCGCCACACTAACATCTCACTGACACCTGATTGCTAAGCACATAAGCGAAACACATTGAATGCTAGACAACCCAGTGGGATGGGCTCTGCTGTACTGATGAGGGCCATCAAGATCGAAACTTGCAGTCTACAGCTTCCCAACGGGTTTGTATAGCCTTCGGTGTGATTAAACACTTTGCAACTATGTTATAATTTGAAATAACATCACGAGTCTCTATTAAAAATTGTAAAATTGTTGTAACTATAACACCACTTGTAAATCGTCAATTTTGCAACGTTCATATTCAGACAATTTTCTAACTAAAAGCCGTCAATCAACCGAAAGGTGTTACCAATTGCTAAATTTTAAGCAAAATCAACAGGTGGTGTTTCAATAGAAATGGCAAAGACAATAAGTAATATTAACTTTGTAACAAACGAATTTTGCGTACGTAAACAAGATAAAGACACATCATGTAGTAGTCATGTCTAAAATCATAAAATTATAACTATTTAGTTTATATGCATCACATTAAATTATCTGAATTCTGTTTTCTTCCAATAAAATATAAAATTTTACGCTTCGTACTTTCACTAGTTCGTTCAATAACCAAATAACCAAATACGGAAATTTACATAACTTTTTTTGAACCAAAAATTCCATAACTTACATTACCATAATAAAATTATGAGTATTATACATATATGCAAAACTAGTTTAATACGGAGAGGTAGCCAAAATGTAACTTGTAAATGTAATGTAAATAAGTGTTGGCAAATTCATCTTTTAAACTACTTAAAAGTACATTTTCAAACTTAAATATTAATAATAATATTCCTTGAGTTTTTTAGCAGTGTTAGTAAATTATTAAGAGATTTCGGCTAGTTGATATCATTCAACCGTAAAGGATTAATTTGGCATTTTTATATCAAAGCCTGGAACATAATGTGAATCAATTACGAACTGTAAAATCGATCAATACCTGCTGAATGTAAAAAGTGAATGAATCATCGCAACAAACTGTAAATAAGATCTAAGAAGTACAGTTTACTTGTTAAAGTGAAAATATTGTTTTCCAAAAAGTGTAAATATTTAGTTACTCATTAAAGTAATGTCCACCATCGTTTCAAGGAAAAAATTATAGTTTATTGTTACACCAGTTCATGTATAATAAATATATACAACAAATGAATTAAACATACGATGTTGAGATCACGAGCACGCAGTGCGGCTGAGATCATTTCTTTGAGCGAATAAATATGTTTACAGTGAACTCATTTGACATACACCTTGTAAAACTTTTATGACTTACGCGGCTTAAGCCAAAGCACCCTTATAAGTCAAACTGTGTACGAAAGTACATCCCAAAAAATACTATTCGTTGAATTATGTATCGTTGTTTATTAGATGGTGGTTGCAGACAGACTCGTAGTCCGTTCGAAATATACATTGAATTGAACAGTAAAACGGGTGGGGGTAGAAACATGGGGTTGGTACCAGTGGTACCAACAAACTGACTATATCCATTATGGCAACAGTGGACAGCAATAATCCTTGCGGGTCGGGTCCATAAAGCTTACAATAGCCAATTTGACTTATAAGGGTAGTTTGGCTTAAGCTGCTTATGTCATAAAAATTTTACAAGGTATATGTCCAATGAGTTTACTGTAATTCACGGGGCGTATATATGTTTTTATTCCATTTTGATGAATTTTATGAATAAAATTTCAAGTAATAAATCAAAATTCCATTCATAATAATCCCAATCGAGAAATCGTGTAAAGTGCGAAACTAATTTTCATGACAACCAGTTGTTGTGACACATGCGACATTTGTGTTTTTGCGAGATAAAAAGGACTAGAATTTTGGAAGATAACGACGAAAACGAAGTTTGTGTACCCTCAGCAGTCCTGGACGAAGCTTTGAAAGCTATGAATAAAGTGGTGCCAGTAAAATCCAAGCATTCATACGGAAAAGAGTATACGAATTTTTGCGAATGGAAGAAGCGAAAGCATGCAAAAGGAATAAACAAAAGAATAATTTTCGCTTATATTTCGGAATGGTCTAAAAATGCTAAATCTTCGTCAGTATTATCGTGTTATTCCCAACTGAAGAAAATGTTATCTGTGAAGGAAAATATTGATGTAAGCAGGTTTGTCATGTCGTAATGATTAATTATGAGGTTTAAACTCTTCATTGTTATAGATTTCATCAAGTGTCAATATTTCTAAAACAAGAGTCTGTAGGGCACAGACCAAAGAAATCCAAGGTGTTCACAGTCGAAAACATGGAGAGGTTGTTAGATATTTCCTTCTGGTGATGAATATTTACTGAAAAAAGTAATGTTTATCGTGGCAATTTTTGGTGGACGTAGAATTGGTGAATTGGTGGCCATGTCAGTCGATGACGTTGAAGACAGGGGTAGCGTACTTGTAATTCAAATTCCAGGCCCGAAGACTCATAAAAGTTTAAGTACTAACATTTAACAAATGTTAGCACTTAAACTTCATGTAAAGATTGATGTGACGTCATTCATATCTCGAAAAACTTTGTTATTTCGTGACATGCCCACTAAAAATACATTCTGTTATATGTGTTCTAAGAAGCCAAATTTAAGATTTGATCCGAATTATTTCACTGTGATGGTTGGGCAAGGCTATTTCTGATACGATTA